ATCAGAGTTTAAATATTCTTGGCTTGCTGTGCTTGGAACAACTTCTGTCCTATAAGTGAGGGTGGGCAGAGGTAGAGTGTACCTGATCCCATGGGCATATTACTAGAAATTTGGCTTTTGCATCTTGTAAATTAAGGGAACATGATTAATTTAGGTGACCTTACATTCCTGATACCCCTTAATGGGAGCTAATGGATGAGGAGGCCCTCTTTTCTTGACCCCACCAAACAAAGCTGGAGTTTTCATTATGCTGAGCTTGGTGGTTGAGAGGGAGGCAGAGAGTTGTGGCTAAAGTTCTTACTTAAATTTAGTATATTTTCTTAAATATTGTTTAATTTGCTGTTTGCTCTTAGGATAGAGAGTTGGTTGTTCTTTAAGAAGTAATTTTTACTAGTTGTAGTAGTTATTTGCTAGGGAGCAATTTCAAAGATCTCCTCACTCTGAAATTCTGGAATTGATAGTCTTTCTCTAAGGTTTTTTATATTTACCTAAAGCAGACATTTTTAACCTTTTTCATCTCATGGCACACATAAACTAATTACTAAAATTTTGTGGCACACCAAAAGTACACTTTTTTGCTGATCTAACAAAAAATAGGTTTAATTTTGATTGATTTATTAAAGACATTATGATAGTAATTATCTACCCTTATTGATCCAAAATAAATTTAAAATCAGGTGTCTATACTTACACATAAACATTTCTAATATCAAGAATTAACCAAGCATCCCAACCATTCCCTGCACCTTCAACCATACAGGATGTTCTCTCCCCTCTCCTCCCTCCTCTAGATAAAAGAATTAACCAATTAGATGCAACCTATGGTATGACATGACCAATAAAATGCAACTCTGTTATATGACCTATATATTTATGGTTCAAGACATTGGCTATTGTCACTTTTTTTTGACGATCTAAAGATTTTTACCTGGTCAGTAAAGGTTTTTACCAGGTCAGTGCCCTTGACTAAATAGTCAGATATTCATGCTTTAAAAATTCTTGTGGCATGCCAGTGTGTTGTGGCATCCTGGTTGAAAAACTGCTGACCTATAAAGTATTAGAGAATAAAGGCAATTATCTGAATTAAGTAAAAAAAAATCTTAAAGAGAAAGGCCTTTTGGAATTAGATTTCTGGCCAGAGTCATCTAGGCCAGAAATTGAGATCTAGTCATCCATTGAGATTAAATTCTAAAAACTTGTTACCTTTGTGAAATGCTTTGACTAAGCAGATTTAGGATATTCCACAAAATTTTTTTCCAGCAATGTGGACATCTCACTGGAAAAGTCTGACTCAATTGTTACCTCCAGTTTGAGGTCCATATTTTAATGCAATCTTAGTTTTCCTCTTCATTTACTTGATATCTTGGGGCCATTCTTAATTCTTTAAGCCAGAAAGTTAAAACGTATTCATTGAAGTCAGTTCATCAAATTTTATGGAGTTCTACCCTGGGCAATCTATCAACATGGCTCTGGATACAGTGGGAGACTCCAATATAGATTATACGATCTGTAGTTGCAAGGAGCCATTAATTGGGGATTTTCATAGCCAAGAATATGCAGTTAAATTCTATCTCTTTTCAGGCACTTGATTAATATTGACATTTTTTCTAGGTAGTTGTTTTTCACCACTGTTGTTAAAGTAGTCAGAGGTGGTGGCATTTTCAATTGTATCAGGTGAGTTACACTGGTTCCTTTAGTAAAATATCCTCTAAGCATGTCCTGCTGACCTCAATGGCTGCTTAACTCCTCAGGGCATTGTGGACCTTCTGTTGCCAGGAAGCGAAACTTTCTTTGTCCCTTGTCTACAACTGTGGCATAACTGCATTCCATCATATTTACTTCCATAACAATTGGTTCTCTTCTTCTATTATTCTTTGATCCTTCTACATGACGATGTGAATGAAATTGCCCAGGAAAGCAGAAATATAGGAATCTATATTAAAACTATGGTGAAACTAACAATTGTTGGGAATTTTTTTCCTATTTAAATCCTCAAGTTAATTTATAAGTTGTTGATACCTCTGGCTCTTTTTCTGGCCACCTTCCTGTCCATCTGAAAGATTCTGGGTAACAGCTAGACCTCCATGCATTAACTGTTTTCATTGTTGACTTTTGTTTCATTCAAGTCATTTACCTCACAAAACAACCCAAAGCTCCATTCATTCAGTAGACAACGAAAGGTCCCCCTGTGTGGCAAGCATTGTGCAAGGTGATGGAGCTTCAAAATCAACAAGATGACTTCCTTGATTTTAAAAGAATTTTATAGTCTCATGAGAGAAACAAATATGAAAAGAAATGTAATAATTAGTGTTCTATGGTAAAAGAAATATGTACAGGATACAGAAGACCCTACTAAGGTGAATGCTCACTTCTGCAGGACGGTAGAGGGGTCAGAAAAATCTTCACCTCAAGGAAGTGATGACTAAACTGACCCATGGAGGTAGATTCTGAAAAAAATGGATTAGACAGGAAGTCATGAGAAAGGGCATTCCAGGCATGATAAAGGCTTTCAGAGAAAAATCCATACAAACAGACTTACATTAATTGTCTTTTACCTTACAATTGGAAGGATGAGCCAAGAGAAGACTCTATTTCTTTGATTATAATACTTTTAGTTTTATTTTTTGTCTGACTTCTCCAGTTTGCCAGGTCTCAACATCCTTGAAAGTAGGGAGCAGTGCCATATTTATGTAACCAAGAATCTAACATTCTGTAAGTTCTTCAAAATGCATTGAATGAATGAATGACGGAAATCCACCGATCATGATCCACATCCAGGGCGGTTCTTCTCCCTGTAAGCCAGTTCTGAGTGCAGGTCATGTAATGATACCAGCTCCTGTTTCTGGGTTTCCAGCCCTTCTTTAGAAATGTCTACATGTTAGAACTTCAGGAGAAGGACTGCTTCCCAAGGCCAGGCTTTCCTGGCACTTTCCATGGAAGTAGCAGGAGGAATGTAAAAATTCTATGTAGGTGTAGGTTGTAGGTGAAGTTTTGGCTGATGGTCTTGTGCCTAATTTTAAGAAAAATTGCATACCTGATGCCTATCATATAGAAGTAAGTAAAAAATTGTAATTAAAGCAACCACTTCCATCTTAACTTTTCTTCCTTTTTTTCTTTTAACATGTAGCACCAATATCTTCTAGCATAGTAGGGAAAGTACCAGTTTGAGTCTTTCATCCTTCTTGGCCTATCAGCTCCTCATTCACTGGTCTTGAACCCTTAGTAACACCCCAGTTGGTCATTTTCTGGTGTCCCTGGGCTCTACCCACTCCTTGGGGTATGTAGCATGCCCTAGTCTTTGGCTGGCCTGGTGGGTGAAGAGAGGGTAACTTTCCCCTTTCCTGCCTGGTCCAGTCAATCTCTACCATAGACCACACAGGGGTGTACAAGTATTTATAGCTTTTTTATTTTTATTTTTAAACTGAAGGGAAAATGGAAACATCTTGGCTTTAAAGCTTCAGCTACGGCACACCCAGTGGGCACAGCCTCAGTTACTAGCCAGGTGTCCTGCCCTAATGCTAGCCCCTCTCCAGGAGAAGACTTTGGGGGACCCCCTTCTCTCTCCACAGGATTTGTTTTCTCTCACTGACCCCCCAATCCCTACCAGTATACTTCCTCACTTCTCACTCAGTAACTATAATAAAGGGGGGAAACTCTAAGGTTTTCACATTCTAAGGTCAAGAGAATAAATTGCAGTAGGTGGGGCTTTGTAATTCCAAATAACTCAGGTTTCTTTTTGAGGTCTCTCTCTTCCTCTCCCCTTGAACTACAGGCCACTCCCTTGAACACACACAATGCATGTACACACGCTACTCCTCCCCAAAACGAACTCTAATGGCCAGAAAAGTTACAGACTAATGCTTTGAGGAAGAAAGAGTTAGCTTTCTAACTGCCACATAATTTGCAAGACAACACTCTCTCCAGCAGTCCAGACATATTATTATGATACAGAAAAATGCACAGAATCATTCCCCTTCACCATTTATTCACCCACCTTAATTCTTTTCCCCATGCTATTTTACATTGTACTCTCTGGGCTTGCTAGAAATAAGAGAAGGTCCTATTGTGGGGCAAAATACTCATCCAGGGCTTATTCTAACAAAGGGATGCTTTGCTATTGCTGTTCCATTAAGGAACAGATTAACTCCTCATCTGAGAGTCCACATTATCCTCAATTTCCAACTAGGCAGGAGGGCAGCCAATGGATTAATCTTCCCCTTGAATAATATAGATGATTGATGATCTGTGTGCAAAATAACCAGGTCACATGGTCTGACAAAGGACTTGTTTTTTTCTGAATCATGATTCATTTTCATCAGGTCTTTCAAAAGAATAAAAATCAAGTTGGATTTTAAGGTTTTTTTTGTGTGGCATTTCACTAATCACCTTCCTGAAGAAGAGAATAATCACACAAGTTCGCATAGAAAATTCAGCCAACTTGACCATCAGAGTGTTATGAGAGATGCATGAGTTAATAATGGAAAATATTCAAGTCCTTAAGTCAATCTTAAAAAAAAACTTTTTTTGAACATGTTGGCCATGGTGCCTGGTGAGGCTAAAATTTGTCAAAGGCAGAGCTGAATGTCAAATGATAATATCTGCTAAATAATTCAGGCCATCTGAACTCTGATATTTTACCTGCTTTAATGAGAATAACAAGTGCAATTAGAGAGTGTTTTCCTCGTGGTGCCAGACACAACGTGTTTTCGCCTAATTGCGGGCCCTGTTTTCCTTCTGGTAACTCACATCCGCGTGTTGGTCCTGTGCTTTATTCCCAGTGCCTGGCATAAGCAGCCACTAACTAAATGTGGGTTGCAAGTCATTACTGAGTACATTTTGATGATTATCATGAAGAAAAAAAGAGATTGCAGAATAAAAACTAGACATTTCAATAAGCCAGTCTGTGATCAGTCCCATTTGCAACAAATGGGAATGGGAACAAAGAACTCTCAGCACTTGGGGTTCTCGCTAACGTGACCTTCTTCTCTCTCCTCTGGCAGGGGAGTGATGCCGATATGGTTGACAAGAACAAGTGCTGCACGCTCTGCAACATGTCCTTTACCTCAGCGGTGGTGGCCGACTCACATTACCAAGGCAAAATCCATGCCAAAAGGTTAAAACTGTTGCTAGGAGAGAAAACTCCACTGAAGGCCACAGGTATGTGTGTGAACAGTAACCGCGGGAAGATGCTGAGGTTGAAGCAACGGGCCTATCCCGTTAATCCTGCTCCCTCTTCAGAAGTGGCTGCCAGAATCAGAGCCTAAAAGCAGATGTCCTTCCAAACCAAAAGGGAGGGGCAGGGAGCCCCCGCTGTCCTCACTGTCCTGTACCATTAAGTCTAAGAGCAGGTGATGCTTTTCAGCCTGGCTCCTTCAGATCGGTAATTTGTCCGCATGCAACTTCTGAAAGGTGTTTACCTTCTGCAAGATGCTGTCTGTCCTGTTTATTGTATATTATGTAAGACATTGTATCTATCACGTGAAGAATGCTGTTCTTCCCTACCTACAGTCGGTGATCACTGTGGGTAGCAACAGCGTTCTGTGCGTGGTGAGTGCATTCCCTGCCCAGGCCTGTGAGGAGCACAGTATCGTCCGTGGTGGCAGCGGGGAGAGCAACACACTTTTGTTGGCTGACAATGGAGTTGGTCTGCAAACTGTAAAAATTTTTAAAGAAATTTTCTACTTAGAATAAGAAAGTGTGAATACGATGTTTTAAATATTAATTTGAAGCCCTTATTTTCAGGTATTAAATAGTATCTGTGATAAAGTTAGCAGCACATTAGGATTTGTTTATCTATTGAGGCAGCATTGGTTATAACACTGCCTGAGTCTCAGGGAGCCACCACCTCCAGTCTGGCTCCCACCCTTCGCACACATTCCCCTCTTTTGCCTGGTTAGCCCTCTCCTCGCCCCTCCTCCGGTGACCACTCATCCCTCATCTGTGTCTATGAGTTTGTTTGTGTGTGTTTGTTTCCTTTTGGTTTTATATTCCACACATGAGTAAATTCATATGGGTTTTTTACTTTTTATCCGACTTAGTCAATTAGTGTATAAGGTCCATTAGGTAACAAATGAAAATATTTCATATTTTTATGCGATGAAATTCTTATCATTTTCATAGGGGATCCTGTGATTCACCCTATGAACTTTCACAATGAAAAGCTTACATATTGATAACATTTGGCTTTCTAATTGCTTAACTAAAAAAATTCTTCAGAAGCCTATTGAATCACAAAACTAAAAAAAAAGTATACTGTTTTAATTTAATCAAGGTAGGCTAATTGGACAAGGTTTACATTATGGCAAAGATGCGAATTAGACTAGGTGAAGAAGTTGGGGGTGTATATCATGATGTCTACTTTTACAATGCAACTAAAATCTAGCAATTCATTTTATCTTGCTGTCTAATGAACCGTGAATAAATCGTGGGTGTAATTCTTTTTTAAATGGTATTTTGGAAATTGGAGAATGTCTAAAACAATACTTGGCTTTTATCCTCAGCAGTGTTTTTCTTAAGAGAAAGACCTTCTTTTACTTTGAGAATAGCAAGGAGTCTTTTCACTATATTTTTCTACTTAGTCCAACTAAAGACTATTGTTTTTGCCAGGGTGGCTTTGACATTCACACGTAAGATAGGATTGTGAAACACGTGAAATCCAGTGACAAGCTCAGCTTGTTTGGGGGCAAACTCTATATGAGTATTTGATAGGCAGCCACATGGTTGAAACTCCTGATTCTTGCTCTTTAAAAGGTTGGATACTCACCTTGTAACCTACTCCCCTTCAAATCTCTTAAAATAGACACCGCAGAGAAACAGGCACTGGAACGTTTACCTGTGTTCCATGAATGAGCGACTAGCCCATTTGTTCTCTCTGCCTACAACAGAGGATTGCTGTTAAATGTAACCTCAGAGGTAGTGATGGAAGAGGAGCTGTACCTTTGTTTATCATCTTCATTAGCAAACGGAGAGTTGTTATTTCTGTAAAAAAAATGGCCACGCAGCAAAAATAGTTCTTTGTGAATTTAAATATATCCTCAAGATCTCCAAGTACTTGTTTGTTTTCTTGAATTCAAATACCCTCAAAGCTGTAAATATAACTTGGGTGTAATTTATTAATTGCCATCGATATTCCAAAGGAAAAAAATCAAAGGCACTTAAACCAAAATCTTTACTTAGTGACTTTGCTGCAGAGCTGGCCCAGTCCTCACTGTGACAGAAGCCAGGATGATGGACAGGCAAGAAGGGAGGGGGGTGAGGAGGGGCAAGTAGCACCAGTCGTGTTTGGGGCTGGGGAGACAGATTCTCGTGCCCTCCTGCCAGCATCCCCATTGGTCACCTAGCCCAGGGTTCCCAGGCTCCACATCACTGATCTGTAGCTCATCCTCTCATCTGTTCTCCTCTAAGGCTGCTTTGAGCAGAAAAAAAATCTTGAAAAGTGGGAACATCATACAGAATTGAAGGGTTTGGGAAGTGAAATTGGTTTCTGGGTTTGGCTTAGTGTCCACTGGGCTGCCTGCCGGGAGCAAAGACAGCAATACATCCTGCCAGAGGGAGGTGAGTCATTTGGTGAAAGTATAACAGGGGTAGGAATAGGGAGGTATGGCACAGGATGAAGGTTTGAGGGCTTGATGGGGAGGTGAAACCTAGCAATGGAGAGTCTGGCTGCAGAGATCCTGCAGAGACATAAACAGGGTACTGGCATCTGGAATGTCTGGCAGGTGGTCAGAGGCCCTGGCTGCAGTCCTGGGGTTCTAGGGAAAGGAAGGCCTGTTAAAAGCATGGCAGGGCATCCTCATTTAAGACAAGAGTATTGGGCTGGTAGTCAAGTGTAAGGAACAAATCAGGAGCCTGGTTCCCAGGCCTAGGATATAGGTGGAAGCTTGGTCTCAAGCACAAATTCTGTTTCTACAAATATAGGATAAAGGAGCAAGAGCCACCAGAAAAGAATACCCAGGACATGGCCCTCCTGAGTTACTAGGTGCAGCCCCATCAGCTCCTTGACTAGAGTCAGGACCATCTGCCATTGTTCCTTGCTGCTTATGGCCACCAGCAGTTCCTAAAGGACTTCACCGTCCATGCTGAGGCTGTCCTGTGCACATCTAGGAACTGCTCTGCCTAATCAACCAGGTTGGCTTCAAATTACTTCTATAATGAAAACAAAAGGGAAAAAAAGAACATATAAATCCCAAGAAAGTGAATCAAGATGCCAGAGAGAAGCAATTCCCCTGCTCCAGGGTGCTGCTTCAGCTGCTCCTCCATGAATAATAAGCTCTTGAACTGGAGTGATTTCTGGGTAGGAATAATTGAAGCATGACTCATTGCTTCTCCTAGCTATTCCATCGGATGAGGGTGAACAATTGGTACCTGTGAATCATTACCTTTTCTCCGACTCAGGATGCACTGGGCTCAAGCATCCCCTGGGCATCCTGCAGAATTTGTTGTCGTTTGAGTTGCCTTCTCCAGATGGGTGTCTGTTTACTAGAATTTCTGAAATGCTTGGCAGAGCCACTTGAACAAAAACCAGTTTCAATTCTTGGCTAGTGTGTTTCAGAATCTCTCCTCTAGTTCACGCCATTCTAGATCCTGCTACAAGATGAGAGCATGAGGAGTACTCTAGACGCACTGTGTTCTTCCAGGGTCAGCAGACCTGAGCATGGAGCTGCTGCCCAGATGAGAGGTGAGAGGGAGGTTGCTGGAGCCATGTCATTTACCAAACTGGGAGGATAGAAACGCACACAAATCCTCTCATTGGAGGAGGAGTAAAGGAAGCAGGGGTTATTAAGCATGGAAAAATGATTGCTCAGGGCTAAATCTTTTGAAAGGCTGTCATGGGAAAGAAAGATTCATGTTGTGTGTGTACATGCATTTGTGTGCTTGGATGCAACAAACATAGCCAGTGAGTGAGTAGAAAATTAGGAAGTAAGCTCTGAGCACAAGATAAAGGCAAGTTTATTAATATTCAGAGATGGTTGAAGGTAAAATGTGTGGCTGTGGGAGGTGTTGAAGCAGTGACTGACTAATCACTTGGCAGGGCATTTTCTCTGGGGGTTCCAGAGTTAATGACATCAGCCTGGATGACATAAGTCTTTCTAACCCTGAGGTTCCCTGCTGGAGTCTACAAGGTTGACCCACTGACATAAAATAGCAGGAAGAATGCTGGCCTGGGAGTCACAGGCAGGAACTCAGGCTTGCATTCTGCCTAGTTATGTAATCTTTAGAAGCTCCATTATCTTTTCAACCTCAGATTTCTCATCTGTCATTTAATTCTCATGGTGGATGAATTTATCTCACGGGCCCTTATACAGAGCCAATGATAGATTTAAGAGTTATTTGAGAGGTATAAGGTACTGTGAGCATTCAGTAAATGAGTCGATGTGAAATATGACTCCTTTCCTATATCAGAGCCCCTGACTTTCTGATTAGCGCAGGGCTGTTCAAACACTACCTTGGGAATACCACATCGAGACACTATGTTGTATCTCCTTGGACACAAACATTCTGGGGCTAAGTTCTATGAACTGAGGCAGGGCCAGGTACTGGAGCTGCCCACAAGAGAGAGAGTCCGTGCTGGTGGTCACGGGAAGCATGGCCGGGGGTGGTGTGGGGCTGAGGAAACAAACAGGTTCTGACATTAAAGAAACCTGTCAGGAAGGAGAGACTCAGCCACCATGCTGGGGCAGGGCCATAGATCCTGGCCTGGGGCCTGGCAAAGTAGAGCAATAGTAAGTAATTTTCAAGGAAAACCTCAAGATCTCCAGAGGATAAAACAAGGAACTGAACACCAGAATGAGGACCCAGGAAAGGGTATAGACCTCAGGGATATAGAAGAGGCTTTGTCATCAGGGCAGAAATAGAGAGATAAAAGAGCTAGAAGCTTGATGCCAAACTGTAGACATCAGGCTGCTGCAGTCTTGCTTACTCGAGGCTGGGATTGGCCCTAAACACCCCTCACGGGGAGCTGACTCTGGATGAAGGGGAGTGCTTCCAGCAGAGCGGAGAGGAGGAGCCATCAGACAGAGACTCGAGTGCACTTTATGATGGCTTTTCTGGGCTCCTGTGCACCGAGCTGTGGTTTTTCCCAAGTGGTTGCCTGGTGGGCCTCTAAGGTTATATGTTTGGTCTGCCTTTGATGGAGCTCCAAAGGTAAGAGCACTGAC